CTCTGTACCCGCCCCCTCCCCCGTCCGTTTCTCCAGTCAGCGCTGGAGGATTGGAGCGGGGAGGGGGAATCCCTGCAGGGAGCCGTGAGTGACAGTCACGGCTCTCTGCCGAGAGATGATTGAGAAGTGAGCAATCACCGGTATGCGTTCACTCACTTCACGATCTATTGAGCCGACCTGTGACAGTTTCATTGTCACAGGTCGGCTCCAACTATGAGGATGAGTGAAAATCACTCACCTCATAGTTCTCCTTTGATGTCACTTTGCTGCAACGAAACAAAAACAAAACAACAATGAAAGGAACACTCGTAAAGACTACAGCTAACGAATTTCGTCTGAATCCCGAAACGAATTGACTTTTGGACCCGAATCCCGAAAAACGAAATAACGCAAAATCCAAATCGAAACGAAAGCATTGGCTCAGCCAGTAGCTCTACCCCTGGAAGGTCAGGCCCCACAGTTTCCACAGGAAAGTTGTATAGACCATTAGCAGCAGACTAGGAGCAATTTAAGTAAAAGTTTTAGATTATTTCCAGTAGGGATGCACCGATACCAATACTAGTATCAATATCGGTGCCGAATCCGAGTATTTGGGCGAGTACTTGTTTACGCCCAAATGTTTCGATGCCTAGCACGAGTACTTCCGGTATCAGGAAGCCGGGCAGCGCGTCATTACACGCTGCCCTGTTTCCCGATTAGCCGGGAAGCGGCTCCATGCTCTCTCGTCACTAGTGATGCCACTGGACTCTAGAGAAGTGGAGGCGTGTTCTCTGGAGTGACCAATCACAGTTCTCTGTCTGCGTTTGGCGGTTGCCATGAGAACGGTACTTGCCTAACTGCATTGTGCCAAGTGTAAAGTTTGGTGGAGGGGGGAATATGTTGTGGGGTTGTTTTTCAGGGGTTGGGCTTGACCCCTTAGTTCCAGTGAAGGGAACTCTTAAGGCATCAGCACACCAAGACATTTTGGACAATTTCATGCTCCCAACTTTGTGGGAGGAGTTTGGGGACGGCCCCTTCGTGTTCCAACAGGACTGCGCACCAGTGCACAAAGCAAGGTCCATAAAGACATGGATGGAGGAGTTTGGGGTGGAGGAACTTGATTGGCCGCACAGAGTCCTGACCTCAACCCCACAGAACACCTTTGGGATGAATTAGAGCGGAGACTGCGAGCCCGGCCTTCTCGTCCAACATCAGTACCCTACCTCACAGATGGTCCAACATTCACATAGACACACTCCTAAACCTTGCGGACACCTTCCTAGAAGAGTTGAAGCTGTTATAGCTGCAAAGGGTGGATCCAACCCAATACTGAACCCTAATGACTAAGACTGGGATCCCATTAAAGTTCATGTGCGTGTAAAGGCCGGCGCCCCGATACTAATGGCAATATAGTGTATTTCCCCTTTGGTGTGGTATCGCCTCTGCTACATATTTATCCCGTAATTCTATAGTTAAATAAAATATTGATACATAATGTATGTGGATGGGTGCGAGTATCAGCTACTGAAGGTCCCTCGTGCAATCGTCATAGCCGAATTATTAACCAATTTAAGAAACGTTTTCCTTTTGAATCTTTAATTGGTTAGGTAAATGAAGTCTTCTCTCTGGAGGGAGATAGAAAGAATTCTCCGGAGGAACAAAGCTCGGTATAAAAATGAAACATCCTGATCGGCAGAGATTACACGGTGCAAGAATCCCCTGCATGAGATGAAAATGTATCCAACAGATGTGAGACTCATTTCTATGCCAGAAGATCATTATATCTTTGAAGTTCCAGGAGGCTATGCCCAGGGTGGGCCATTGTTAAAGGAATCCATTTGAGAAGTTTGGAACTCTTATATTTTACATTGTATCAGAATAGAGACACCTGACTCCAAATGTCACTCATGTTCATGTGGTCCTGAACGATAGAGGTAAGAGAATGCGTTTCTGTTGTCCCAGAAGGTGTTGTCTAATGTCCTATTTAAAGGTGAACTCCAAGAAGCAGATTAATTTTACATGTAAGGTAGTTGGTATTAAACGTCAAAGATTTGTATTTTACAGAGTTACATATGTTGGCATTTGTTGCTTTATACACCTTTATTCACTGTTATACTGGATTTGCTGTGAATTTCAATAAAGTCTGCAGTATTGGAATTCTCTGGATGGTGCGGTCTGTTCATATACTGTTACATAGTTACATAGTATTTGAGGTTGAATAAAGACATATGTCCATCAAGTCCAACCTATTGTGTGTATGTGTATGGTCCTATTGGTGTGTAGTATGTATAGGCCCCTGTGTGTTCTCAATCTTAAGAGTACTTGTACCCCTGTATATTACGGTCCCTGAGGAAATCGTCCGATCGCCTCTTGAATGATTCCACACTCTCAGCCAAAATCACAGCATGTGGCAGCGAGTTCCAGACCCTGACCGATCTAACTGAGAAGAACCCCCTTCGCTCCTTGTGCTGACATTTTTTCTCCACCAATTTTAGGTGGTGGCCTCTCGTCCTTGTCACCGAGTTAATTGTAAAAAGTTTGCTGCTAATGTTACTATCCCCAGTAAAACATTTTATATATGAAAATCATGTCCCCCCTCAATCTCCGGACCTCCAGCGGGAACATGTTTAAATTTAGTAACCTTGTCTCATAGCTTAGGTCCTCCATCCCCTAATTAGTTTAGTTGCCCTTCTCCGGACTCTCTCCAGCTCAAGGACATCCTTTCTGTGGATAGGTGACCAAAACTGGACCACATACTCCAGATGAGGCCGAACCAGTGATCTATAAAGTAGCAGAATTATAGATTTGTCTCTACAGTAGATTCCCTTTTTAATACAAGGCAGTACTCGCTTTGTTTGCAGCAGCCTGGCATTGGACGTGATGACTCACGGGTCCTTAGACCACCGGCAATGTTGGCCTTAGTGACCCATGAAGTTTTGTTTTAAACTTCATGGGTCACTGAGGACCCATGGAGTTTAAATAATGGACCGATAAGGCTGTAGAGAAAGGTACGTGGTCATGGAATCTTTTTAGCCTAGAAGCTGCATGATCTCTGTGACCATAAGATGCTCATTTCACCATTCCAGGGGCAGAACAAAATGGAGGATGCAAATGGAACGCAAATGATCGGCTTTGTGTTGTATGTATGTATGTATGTATGTATGTATGTACAGGTGAAACTCGAATAATGAGAATATCGTGCAAAAGTAATTGCAGTAAGTCCTGCAAAAGGGGCCCAAACCAAGTTCTGAGTACATATGCATGCTTGTACTTTTCAGAGGTCCGATATTGTTCTATGTACAATCCTTGTTTTATTGATTGCATGTAATAATCTACTTTTTTGAGGTTGTGGATTTGGGGTTCTTGGGGTTTTCATGAGCTGTAAGCCATAATCATCACAATGATGAGAAATCACGGCTTGAATTATCTTGCTTTGCATGTAATGAGTCTATCTCATATATTAGTTTCACCTTGTAAGTTGCATTAGTGAAATAAATGAACTTTGCACGATATTCTAATTATTCGAGTTTCACCTGTATGTATGTATGTTCATTTGCATCTTCACGTCTAATACACTGTATTGGACGTGATGACTCACGGGTCCTTAGACCACTGGCAATGTTGGGCTCAGTGACCAATGGAGCATCATGGATCAGTGACCCATTGGATAATGGGTTAATAAGGCTGTAGAGAAAAGTATGTGGTCATGAAATCTTTTTAGCCTAGAAGCTGCATGATCTCTGTGACCATAAGATGCTCATTTCACCATTCCAGGGGCAGAACAAAATGGAGGCTGTAAATGGAACACAAATGATCGACTTTGTGTTGTCTGGTATGTCCATTTGCATCTTCACGGCTAATACACTGTACTGGACGTGATGACTCATGGGTCCTTAGACCACTGGCAACTTTGGGCTCAGTGACACATGGAGGTTAAATAATGGACCAATAAGGCTCTAGAGAAAGGCACATGGTCATGGAATCTTTTTAGATTAGCAATGTAACTGGAAACTGTTTGTGACCATAAGTTGCTCATTTCACCATTCCAGGGGCAGAACAAGATGGAGGATGTAAATGGAACACAGATGATCGAGTTTGTGTTGTCTGGTCTTACTGAAGATGAAGATCTTGTCCCGTTCCTCTTCACATTCTTCTTCCTTGTTTACGTAATCACAATAGTGGGAAATATTGGGATGATCACTGTCATCTATGCTTCTTCCGGCCTCCGCACCCCAATGTACTATTTCCTGAGTTTCCTCTCTCTGGTGGACCTTTTCTACTCATCGGTTACAACCCCTAAAATGTTGGCTGATCTTCTGTCCTCCAAGAAGTCAATCCACTTCATTGGATGTGTCCTCCAAATTTATTTCTACTCTGCTCTAGCCAGTACTGAAGTCCTTCTTCTCTCAGCCATGTCCTACGACCGATATATGGCTATCTGCCAGCCCCTCAACTACGTCTCGGCAATGACCAAAGGGAAATGTTTTTGTATGGTCGTTTTTTCATTTTCTTTGGGTTTCTTTCAGTCGTCAGCGCAGACCAGCTGTGTGTTCAGTCTGAGATACTGCAAATCTAACGTCATTGACCATTTCTACTGTGAGATCCCCCCCATTGCTCAAACTGTCCTGCTCAGACACTCACCGATGCAGCCTATTAACCATTGTGCTTGTTGCCATTTTCGGTGTTTGTTCACTGATGACAATCCTGGTCTCCTACGTGCTGATTCTTCGTTCTATTGTAAGAATGAAATCATCATTGAGCAGGCGGAAAGCTTTTAGCACCTGTTCTTCCCATCTGACGTGTTCCACCATTTTCTACATGGCAATTTTCTTAACTTACCTTCATCCACCTTCTGGTGTCCTCAAGACTCAGGACAAGGTGGCCTCTGTTTTTTACTCCATAATGACACCGATGCTAAATCCACTTATCTACAGCCTGAGGAACCAAGAAGTCAAGAGGGTCATTAGAAGAGCAATATGTTAAGAGCATGTCGAATGCCCCTTTGCCTCTCGCAACCTCCCAGAGGTTGCCTGTTGCCACTGCGCCTATACCAGTCTTCTTGTCAGCTGTGGACTAATAAGCTTGGCCATACACCTTCAGCATCTCTCCATCAGGTGTGGGTTGATGAGCCTGGTCACACATCCGTCAGCCTGGGGATTGGTTAGTGGCGCTTTATTTAGGCAAGAGACCTAGAGTTGTGATCATTTATTTATTTCAGGTATTTATATAGCGCCAACAATTTACACGGTGCTTTACATAGAGCACATTTACATCAGTCCCTACCCTCAAGGAGATTAAAATCTAGGGTCCCTATCTCACATACATACAAGGTCCAATTTACATAGGAGCCAATTAAACTTTCAGCATGTCTTTGGAGTGTGGAAGGCATGAACGAAACTACCAGGGTTGCAGCGGTCGCAATTGTGAAGGGCCCTGGCGTTACGCCAGTTGGGGGGCACAGAGAGGAAAAAGAGGGCTCTCTCATGCCACCCGCTGCGTTCATTAAACTAAGCAGTGTGGCATACACTGTAGCTGGAGGGTGGGGATAACTACATTTCCCAGTAGGCGGGGAGGGAGATGAAAGATACAGACTGGAGGTTCAGGCAAAGTGCCCTTTGGAGAGAGGTGCGGTAATCAGCGGGCACAGACAAAGAACAGGGACAGAGAACTGCAAGATGGAGAGCTGCAGGTACCGAGGGTAGTTGATACCCCCTTGGTGGGAGGAAACAGGAGCACCTGGTGGAGACCCACACAGGCACAGGGAAACATGCAAACTCCTTGCTGATTGGGTCCTGACCAGGATTTGAACCGGGAACCCTTAGTGTTCAGTCTAATTCTGTCTAGCTCTGTCTGCACAAGTCTCTATCCTGCCATAGTGTATCTTGAATCTTGTACTTATCTTGCTCTTGTATCATAGCTTTGTCTAGTATCTTGAGTCCAGTTCCTATCTTGCATCCTAGTCCCATCTTGATCTTGCATTCTAGTGTTGCCTTGAATCTTTAACCTTGTACCTGTCTCGTATTGTGTATCCTGTACTTATCTTGTGTCCAGTTCTGATTTTGTATTTGTATCCAGTTCCTTTCTTCTATCTTGCTCTCTGTTTATGTCTTCTTGTACCTTGTCACCAGTCAGTACTACTTCTCTGCACCTGGGGGCTGCCTGTGACATTTATGGCCAGAGTGTATACCGTATTTGCCGGCGTATAAGACGACTCGGCGTATAAGACGAACCCCTACTTTTTGTGTTAAAATATAGGTTTTGGGCTATACTCGTCGTATAAGACGAGTATAACCCAAAATAATGTTTAAATGCACCCCCTAACCTCCATGGCGGTATTCCCGAGTGTGGCTCGGGGGTTAATTTTCAGTACCATAAGCGGTAACCCTGAGCCACACCATTACAGTCTCTTACCTTGTCCACGATCCCCGCTGTGTCCTCCGTCTTCCGTCCCTTGCAAGCGTCAGCGTCATAGGAGGGGCGGAACCGGCGGCAATTATAAAAGTTAAAATAAAAATAGAACAAAAAAATAATAATACAATCGTTAAAGGCTAATCTGTCAGCCCGGTGGATGTGCAGTAATACTGTATGTACGGTAGCTTCGGCTACATACAGTATACCGCGCTGAGCCAATCACGGCAGGCTTTGTATTCATTAATACAAAGCCTGCCGTGATTGGCTCAGTGCGGGATACTGTATGTAGCCGAAGCTACATACAGTATACAGTATACCACATCCATACCCGGCGTATAAGACGACCCCCGATTTTCGGGCGATGTTTTTAGGTCTCAAAACCCATCTTATATGCCGGCAAATACGGTAGTTTAAGTCCTGGGGACATCCAAGCATCGGTGAAGGCACTTGCCTTAAGGGAAAGGCGGCTGCTGGAGGTGAAGCAATTTGCCGCTGTACATTCTGACTAAAGTGTCTGCATCCGGTCCTGACAACAATTGTGTAAATTCTTTTGGGTTAGTTGTAGGATTCAATCAGTTGTTGATTTTAAATAGATCATTAAAGAACCATTTTGGCTTTATGATTAATATGTAGTAGGAGAAGGGTTCTCCGAGAGATCAAGCTTTAAAGGGAATGTACCGTATAGTCTTATCAGTGTGTTTATAGAGAAACTGAAAACAAGATTATATTGATGTAAATATCTTATCAATATGTAACTGTTTTATTTTCTCAGCATAATTAGTAGTTATATGAGTATATGGAGGCAATCGTATCTTCTTATTGCAGCACTACACAATGGTTGCACGTTTCTGCTACTCCTCAAATGCAAGTCCATGAGTCAGCTGTGACTATGTGGCGTGTGTATGAGTTTGTTTTGCAGAGCACTATAAGTAAAAGAGGACGGCATAGATTTATATTTTATCTGTTTCCTCTCCTGCACTTTACACATCCTGTAGACCAGGGGTGTCAAACTCAATTTAATCGTGGGCCGCATCAACATTATGGTTGCGCTCAAAGGTATCTGTACTATATAAATGTATCTAATCTTTATCATAATTGCCTCTGCATTCCATTATCACTGGTTTTAGTAATAACTTAATACCTAGATCTGAAAGTAGAAGTCTAGGAAATGGCCTGGTGGGCCGGATTCGGCCCCTGGGCCTTGAGTTTGACACATGTGCTGTAGACTCTTTGTAGGCACTTTCTGTGCATGTGTCCAGGAGCAGCTAAACATCCCGTTTTATTGCAGTGACTACAGCAGAATGCACCAGCGCACTGTGTGTTGGAACTGTTGCCTGTAGATCAACTCAGCAATGTGCAGGAAAGGGTTGACAACACTGCAACTCAACTGGGTTAAGAGTTGTTACCCTATGAAAGGAAGTGCTTGTGGATACACCTTGCTGGTATGACTTCATTAAAAGCTGTCAACAATTGATCCCCCTCAAGAGAGGTCAAGCACTTGGAATACAAACTGCCTCTTCCCCCCTATGAAATTTCAATAATAATAATGGAGGATGGAACAGGGCAGATGGGGAGGATGGAGCAGGGCAGATGTGGAGGATGGCAATGGGGCAGTTGTGGAGGATGGAGCAGGGCAGATGTGGGATATGGCAGCGGGGCAGATGTGGAGAATGGCAGTGGGGCAGTTGTGGAGGATGGAGCAAGGCAGATGTGGGGTATGGCAGTAGGGCAGTTGTGGAGGATGGCAGTGGGGCAGTTGTGGAGGATGGACCAGGGCAGATGGGGGTTATGGCAGCGGGGCAGATGTGGAGGATGGCAGTGGGGCAGTTGTGGAGGATGGACCAGGGCAGATGGGGGTTATGGCAGCGGGGCAGATGTGGAGGATGGCAGTGGGGCAGTTGTGGAGGATGGAGCAGGGCAGATGTGGGGTATGGCAGCGGGGCAGATGTGGAGGATGGCAGTGGGGCAGTTGTGGAGGATGGAGCAGGGCAGATGTGGGGGATGGCAGCGGGGCAGTTGTGGAGGATGGAGCAGGGCAGATGTGCAGGATGGCAGCGGGCAGATGTGGAGGATGGCAGTGGGGGAGATGTGAAAGATGGCAATGGGGCAGATGTGAAGGATGTAGCAGGGGCAGATGTGGAGGATGGAGCAGGGCAGTTGGGGACAATGGCTGTGGGGCAGATGGGGAGGATGGCAGTGTGGCAGATGTGGAGGATGGAACAGGGACAAATGTGGAGGATGTAGCGCGGGCAAATGTGGAGGATAGGAGAGGGGCAGATGTGGAGGATGGCAGAGGGGCAAATGTGGAAGATCAGCAGGGGTGATGTACATGTGATGGGGTGTTATAGAACATGAAATGGAACATAGTTGTACTTGAAACTGTCACGTTCAACTATGTTCTATTCCATGTTCTATAATGCCAAGTAGTCATCTCAACTGTCTGATAACTTCCTC